ATAGTAAGGACTCAGTGTTGCTAATTCATTAAGCTGCTTTTCTTTTCTACCTCTTAACTCCTCCAATAACTGGAAAATAGCCACACAATTTGGAGGATTTAGGAGGTCTTCTCGGGATCTTATACCTTAATTTACTCCTGATAAATCCTCAAGCCCTCTTTTAAAAAATGGTCAAATTTTCTCTCTGGGGAATGCTGAAAAGTACACAGATAGGGTGCTGAGGAGCCATGTGGAGGCTAGCAGATGTCAATCCCCTGGTGTAATATTTAGATAGCATACAAATGCTTATAATAAAATAACATTTTATTTATTTATTATTTAAATTTATAGGCTGTTCAACTCCATTACAACTTTGAGTGGCATACAATACATGATATTTAAAACAGTACAATCCACAGAATACAAAAAGAAACATCCAGAAAAAAACAACCACCATCTCACAGATCAGACAACTCACAAGGAGCCCACCACCCATTTTAGCCCAAGGTCTGAGAAAAGAGCCAGGTCTTAGTGGCTCATCTAAAGAAAGTCAGGTTGGGGACCATACAAATCACTTGGGGGAATGTCATTGCAGGGGGCAGGCACTTCATCAGAGAAGACCTGCTTCCTGGATCCCATCAGATGGCATTGCTTGATCAATGAAACCTGGAACATGCTGAGTCTGCTAGAACATATAGGATCAGCAGTGACTATGGAAGTTAGGTAGTCCCTCAAGTAACCAGACACTATGCCATGGAATGCTTTATAGATGATAAACAGCATCTTGAATTTCATCCAAAAGCTACTGATAACCAGTGCAGCTCACAGAGCAAAGGTGTTACATGAGAATACCACAGCATGCTCATAACTAGCCGTACCATTGCACTCTGGATCAGCTGCAGCTAATGAGTGGTCCTCAAGGGCAGCTCCATTTACACTGTATTGCAATAGTCCAAATGTGAATGACCAAAGCATATATCTGTTTTAAGGACTCCCAGTCCACATATGGGCATAATTGTATCTGTGCAAAGGCCTTCTTGGCCACAGCTGTGAGTCCAAGAAGACCTCCAAATTGTGTACCAGTCTCAAAGGGGACAGTATATCACCATTCAGAACTAAAGATGGAGTGCCTTCAGATATAGGTAGCTCAAATAGCCACTCTGTCTTATGAGAGTTGAACTTCAGCTTCTTCCTTCCCATCCAGAAGCCCACAGCCTCCAACACTGGGACAAGACCTGGATAGCATCCCCTGATTGGCCTGGGGTTAAAATGTACAGCTGGGTATCATCAGCATGCCAAAGATATTTGACCCCAATGACCTCACTCAGTGGCCTCATATAAATGTTAAACAGGAGATGTGACTGCATTGAGCCCTGAGGTACCCCACATGTCAGTATGTCTTCTGCCCTTCTCCCTCCCCTGCTAACACTGATTAAACCCAGCAACAGAGACAGGAGAAGCACCAGAACACTGTGCCTCCTTTTTTAACCCTCTTTAAAGAGACGGGCACTAGAGGTTTTCTCCAGTTACAAAATCTAGATTTTGGGCAAGCAACAAGCCAATATCTAATCAGTTAAAAGAAGAAACTATATAATCAACCTGATTAAACAATAATTCCAGCCACTGCCACCAGCTGTCAATTCCCTTTACATTGGCTTGCAAACTCAGGAGTAAGATACAACTTCCTCCATGACCAAATCTGCAAAGTAGTCAACCCAAATTAAAAGGAAAATGTGCAGAATCCCAGCCTACACTGAGTCTCCTAACAAGTATTGCCAATTATCAGAGCATGCTGAGGAGGCTCAAGTAACACCAAAGCCTTCTTTCAACAACCAACCTTTCATGATTTGAGCTCAATAAAGATGTGTTCCCAATATTTTCCCTCATGAATATGTCTCCTTCAAAACCAAAACACAGCCTGCTTGCCAATTCCAAACCCTTGATTGAAAAAGGCTTAGGAGTTGACCTCTAGGTCTTTCCCCAACTACCTCTGTCCTGGCTCCAACAAATTCTTCAGTTCACATTTTTGCAGCAGCTACACACACACTAAAGTCTTCTATTCTTGCATCTTCTATTTCTGCAGGATCTGGGGAAAGGACTAGCAGATAGATCTGGATGCTTCTCTCTCTATGCTTTTCTATTCCAACAAGAGCCAAATGTCACAAAATACCAGTGCTCCTGCATGAAAATCCATTAATTTTCTAGTGAAAACTTCAGATTTCAACTATCTTGTATAAGCGCCCAGTGAGATTGGCCAAATCTCACACTATTTTTTTTTAAATGTGTTTTTACTGTATTTTTAACCTTTGGCACTTGGGGTATCACATGAGAGGAGCATTACAGTACCTGGCATCAAAGCACCATTATTAGAATGTGGATCCAGGATATGTCAGATTTTCTCCCTCCAAGACCAGCTCTTTCTAAATTCAGGAATTCTACTTTCTATAGTTACCACAGGAAGGCTTTGTGTTAGCAATCCCAATAAAATATTGTCTGTTCATACCCACATATGCAGTAACAATCAGGGTCAGTTTTTGAAGCAGTTGTGCAAGCCCACCAAAGGGCATGGCTGTTTTAATGCTCAGAAGAAAGGAGCTTCATCTCTGCTAACATGCCTCTTAAAGCATCTGCTTTGAATATTCTTCAGAGCACCTACAATTTCTGTCTAGGAAGGTTCCCTTTTTCTTTATTGTCTAATTCCTACTCCCAGCAGTGCAGCTGTCATTTATTTCCAGGGAACTATAATCAATGTTTTGTACAACATTGACAAAAAACCTGTACACACTGTGATTGGCACTCAACAGCTTCTCTCTGATTTTTTTTTTTTTCTTAAGAAGAATTGGAGGAAGAAGGAGCTATCTTTGCTCTTTAAGTTTTGGTTGTGATGTAAATTCTTCCTTTGCTGGCACATTTTAAGAACTTGAACATCTTACAAGGAATGTCTTTGTCCTTAGATAACAGCAAGCTGTTTATCTTCTTTAAAATAATATTAAAAGTTCTTCACCTTTGTAATGATATTTATGTTTATACATAAAGCACCATGATCATGTTGTTGCTTGACAAAGTAATAATTTTTTTTTAAAAAGTCAATGTCTTTAGGGAACAAGAGCCATCATCTAAAGGCACATTTTCTATAAAAGTAGGGTTCACAGCCACACTACATTTCTGACAGAAGCCTTTCAGTAACTCCTTACATACAGTATATAAGACTGGAAAAATTGAAGTTGGTCAAGTCATCATCCTGTAAGATAGTTATTTTTCTCACAATAATTATTGTTTTTAAAAATCTTCATCACACTACACACCTTAGCTTGTAGTTAGTGTGTGTGCATTAAAATGTGTTTCATTGTGTTTCAGCACCTACACTGAGGATCTAGCAATGTCACCTAAACACTGTCAGTTACTCAGTTCAGAGTAACTGATGGTGAATCAGTTCAACACCATTCAATTCCCTGGCAATCCAGAAGAAATGCGGTTGGCATAAAAAATGTTATCGGAAATGCACGATGGGACTCCAATGTTAAACCTTCAGGCCCTCTGCCGGTGTGCATTGCACTGCAATGGCAGTTTCAAATATGTTGGTGCCTCACATGAACCGAAAGAAAGACAAAAGAAAGAAAATGTACTCGTGTTCTGGGGGGAGAACCTAGGCCATCTAGTGAAAAATGGCTTTAAGAATGCATCCCTGTTATCCTTCTCAATAAATCATTAAGAATTTCACTATTAAATAGCTACTTTCCCTTAAAGAGCAAATACAGTCATAGCTGAAAACCAGTAACTTTTATCATTCCCACAACACAAGCCGATTCCACATGACTTCTTTCTGGAATAGCTCAGGTGAAAGAAGTAGCTGGAAGTTCAGATTGTTAAGCAGATTTTTTGGTGTTTAGTTTGAAGTGATTTCTGTACTTTTATTGCCGCATGACCCAGCCTAGGGCAGTCTGGTTTCTCTTTCTTTTAAGGTTCATCAAAGATGTTTGACAAAAGAAGAGAAAGTCCAAAGAAGGGGATAGAAAACAGATGCTATGGAGTGGGAGAGGAAACAGGAAGAATACATGAACAGCAGAGAGTAGGAGGAAGGCAGGGAGGACAATGAGGAGAAGAAACAAAGCGGAAGCACCAGCCATAAAGTTTGATTGTATCCCAGGAACTTTTCATGGGAAGTACAATGAGTTTCAGCAGGGGAGTGTTAAAGGTCATGCCTTTGGAGGATATATAACACATATATATGCCTTTTCCAACCTGGAGCCTTCCAGATGACTACAATGCCCATGGGCATTAGTTGTGCTGGCTGAGGGTGATGGGAGTTGTAAACCCCCAGTCTGGGAGATACCAGGTAAGTGAAGGCTGCTCTGTGTGATTTATGGTTATTTTTCTGAGGGAAGGGCTTCTAAAAGGAAAAGTATTTCATTTAAAATAAAACTTCTAAAACATTGATTGAAAACATGACATAGCATGTTTTTAAACTGAATATAATCTGTGTCACCACTGATGTTTAGGAACACCATATGTTCTCCACAGATATCTTTTACAGTTAATAACACCATGTGCTGGAATATAAAGCCCTTTTTCAATTCATAATTTAATCCAGTAAAAAAAAAAAGCCTATATAAATCTAATAGGGATAATTTCCAAACAATGTACTTATTCTGGCACCTTAATATGTTGCAGGAAGTACATTCATTTAATTAATTAAGTGTCTTGAAGTCTATTCTGGGAGAGTCTCTCTCCAATCACCCATTTATGAAAAAAAGTAATTCTGTGCTGTCTCTACTTTTATAATGATGGGATCACATCCAATCCATCACTATTTCAAGACAACCTGTTCTTGTACACCCATGCTCCTTTTATTGTGTTATATGTCACACACACACACACACACACACACACACTGCATCTAATTTTAATAACCCTTCTCAAGCTGTGTTATTAAAATAATCCTTAAAAATCCCCAACCATCTGCACAGGCATGTCTTTCTAAGTAATTCCCAATTTTAGAGCACTTGAAAATACTGCCTTACCTGGATCATGAAAGGGAACCAGTGCAAAGTTGTAAAGTGGCCTCTTGGGTCTCTTCAAAGAGGTCTCCAAAATTTTGGAGGCACCTTCAATGACCTGAACTAAGTCATCGTACATTGAACCAGTCACATCAAACACAAAAGCCAAGGTAGATGCTCCTTGTGGGATTTCTTCCACGCTGGGTTGAGGCTCGAGTTCCACCACTGCATCCTGGGCACAGGTAGGCGAAACGAGGAGGACAAAAAAGAATGATGTGCAGAATCCTACTGCCCGCAGGGGGACATTGTCATGGAAATCCATGGCTTTTCCCCCTTTTCTCTGGTACCTCAGCAATGTGCTCAGCTTCCCACCTCAAGCATCACAAAGGATCCAGTCTGGCTGTGAGGAATGCATTGGGTCAATCCTTTTTTCAAAGCAACAGCAGAAGTCCTCCCTCCCCCCCCTCTTTTTTTCCCCAAGAACTTTACTTTCCACAGATTCAGGAGAGGCAGAGAAACACGACTACTTTTGCTTGTGCAAGTTGCCGGCTCTTCTTCCCTTCCCCAGCCTCAGTTTGCAAGAGTTTGCCAGCCTCTCCCTGAGCCAAGAGAGAACGAATCCCATTCATATCCCCCATGCAGCTGCCACCTCTGGATTCTTTGGCAAGAGACACAGGCTCTCCAAACTCCGGCTGCTGTTAGAAGCCTGTGGCTGCGGTGGCTGCCGCTGCAGAGACAATGAGGAGGGGATGCTCAGAACATCGCGCCCTCTCATTGGCCAACCCCGCTTCCCCACCTTTGCCTTTGAGGCACTCTTTTCGGGTGATCTGTTAAAAATGGTATTTGGGGTCTCTGGAGTGCCACAAAATCACTCAAGGCAAGCCTCTTTCGTAAGCAGTCGTAAAACACGGCACACTTGTCACTCTGTTTTGGAGGAAGTATCAGTAAGAGGAAGGAGGGACTGCTTTTTCATTTATGAGGAATGTTTAAATATACTTACAGCAAGGGGGTCTGTTCTTAGCCATATGCAGGGCTAGCTCCCTCTGCTCCAAGTAATTTGAGCTCTTCAGGCAGAACTGCCTCTGCAGAGAACTCACACTCCGAAAGGCGTACAGCTTCCCCTTGTTGAACTTACTGTGATATTTCTGAGGAAAAGTAATTGCAGCCGAGATCAGAGGCCACAGCTGCCCTCCATCATATTGCCTCAGTCGGGCAAAATTTTGTAGGCCTGAGATATTCCATGTATTTCTTATAATTGCTGAACATATATTCAAAGGGACAGAGTCAAAATGCCACAAAATGTCCGTTTGGACCTGGCATTCTTCAGTCGTTCACACTCACACACACATACAAGAAGTTGCTTCTTTGTGTATGAACTTGTCCACACAAAATGAAATGCCCAGTCACTTGCTACCCACAGTGGAGACTGAGGTTCCATACAGTGAAATACATAGAAGGACCTTCAGGCCTTAATTAAATGAGGACTGGCCATGAACACTTTGGGTCTCCTCATCAGAGGATGAACAAGGGCTGGATGAGGTGTCCTTGGATCCATGGAAAAAGCTTGTTTGCCCAAGGTCTCAGATCTGACCTCAGATTCTTCTAGGATGTGATTTTCTTTGTCCTACTATCTTGTGTTCATTGGATTTTCAAAAAGAAGATTATGATCTGAGATTACCCAAATACAATCAGCTCTGCCTTCATTAAGAGGCAGTGGACAAAGACTCCTATTCTGTATGCAATAATGGATTGCCAGATATATTGTCTTGCCCATCCATTCTCGCAAAGTATTATCTGGAAGCTCATAAAAAAGAGAAAGGAGTAAAGTGGGTATACATTACATTAATCAACAATGAACATATAGCTAATCAAATTACCCTGGATATCCTTAGTTTCATTTAGGTCAGTGTTTCTTAAACTTTTTTCTCTCAGGACCCATTCCCACTTTTAAAAATTATGGAAGACACCAAAAGAGCTTTTGTCTGTATGGATTATATTTACCAATATTTACTGTACTAAAAATTAAAATTGATGCATTCGCTGCCACTACCACTTTTTATGATTGTTTGATGGGCTTTTAATACTGTATTATTTTTCAACATTGGCTAGCAAGTAATTTTGATGTCGTGGACCTCTGAGAGGGTCTTGAGGGACCCCACAGGTCCTAGGACCAAACTTTAAGAAATGCTGATCTAGGTTATCTGTAGCCCTTTTCAGGCATTCTCTTCCCAGGAGCATGGGGAG